CAAATTCTGAAGAATCTGAGAAATCGTGGGAGATATTAAGTCATGAGGAACTTCTTCTTGAGGTTAAGTATAACCTCAGAGGGAGTAAAAAAAAAAGTTGCAGGTATTGCAGGTTGACATTCGCCGCAATGGAGAAGAGCCAATCGACAACCACGGGTCGTGCCATGATGATAACCGACGCTTTCCATTGAAGGATGCCATGTTTGAATCTCAGTACTCGGGGAGATTGCGGAGAGAGTCTTCACCATCAGCATTCCGATCGGAGATCCGCCAGCAGCCAGAAGAGGACAACCAATATATTTCATAATTTCGTTTTGAAATCATATGTTATCAGTGGAACACTTTCTTTTAGAAAAGTGTCCATTTTCAATCAGCAGTATTCTACAATTCACTTAATTGTGAATTGAGGTATCTTCAATTCATCAAGTCTCTTATTCAGTATTAAATTATGGAATTCTTTAGTCATGCAATCAGTAAGTATAAGCTTTAAGTTAAGCTTGTACATCTCAGGAAGAGGTTAAGTTCAGCACTAGTGTTGACTATTCCCGATCCTTCTCGGAGTTTCACTATCTATAGCGATGCTTCGAGGCAGGGCTTGGGATGTGTCCTTATGCAGGACGGACGGGTCGTTGCGTACGTTTCACGACAGCTTAAGCCTCATGAGCAGAACTATCCTACGCACAACTTAAAATTAGCCACAGTCGTTCACGCCCTGAAGATCTGGCGTCATTATCTTTATGGCGGACGCTGCGAGATATTCGCAGACCATAAGAGCCTACAGTACATCTTTACGCAGAAGGAGCTGAATATGAGGCAGCGCCGTTGGCTCGAGTTGGTCAAGGATTATGATTGTTCTATTCGGTACCATCCGGGGAAGGCGAACGTCGTCGCAGATGCCCTAAGCCGAAAGGTGACGGGAGACTTGACGTACGTCATTACGCAGCAAAGTCCATTGATCCATGAGTTTGCCCGGATGCAGCTTCAGGCGATTGACGTACTCCCCATAGCTGTTTCGGGGAGCACTAGTGCCAGTGTCAGTGCTATGCAGCTTCAGCCGACACTGAGGGAGAGGATCCGGCGAGAGCAGGCTTCTGACGAGTTTGTACGTGTCATGGAGGTCAAAATTCGTGCCGGAGGAGTACGAGATTTTCAGCTAGGCGCCGATGGTGCCTTGGAGTTCAGAGGTAGGATCGTGGTCCCGAAGGCCGA